TGAGGGCCGCTGGCAGGTTATCTGCCCCCGAACGCGGGCGGCGGCCTCGCTTATCGCGGCGGAGGGGCTGACTCGCAGGCTGCGAGGAGGGCAAGGCTGCCTCAGAAAGGCAACAGCACAGCCTTAATATAAGGACCCCTGGTAAAACTTACCTCAGTATTGAGCCAAGCTGCACATTACTGGACAGCGTCACACAGCGAGCCCAAATATTGGGCAAATAAGTAGTATACTTACATAGCATACTAGAGGTGGATGAAGAGGTACTAATCAGATGCTACACCAGGTACACAAGTGATCTTAACATGGCAGGAAAAACTAGAAGAATATCCTAACTCTGCATGGCCCTGCAGAGAATCACACCATTGAAGCGCTTCACAGAAACTAGAATATTTTCCACAATGCAAAGTCATTTCACTAAATAAATGTTCTGAATGTTTTTCTTATTTAGGACATCGATGGTGTTGGGCATAAGTACCACCTGGAATTGGTGTTAGAAGATGTCCTTGACAAAGTGAGTTCACATTTATTTAACTAACACATTCGGGGGGCAGAAGCTGGCATACTGGCACGTAATAAAAATGCATCGCTTTATGCTGCTAATCCTAGCTGAGGCCAGTGAACACACCAGTTAACAATACTTGACATCATGCTTCAGATTTTTCTATACTGCAAAATCAGGAAAATAATAAAAAAAAAAGGCTAAATTTTACCATAAGGGACCCCCCATTTCTCTCACCATAAAACCCCTGAGCATCTGGTACCTACTACTGTAACACAAGAAAATGCTTGAAGGATGACAGGGACATTTCAGTGTCATTCAACTGAAAACTGCAGTTACTTGAACCCATTACTCCACTTGAAGAGCCCAAGTAACATTCTTCTGCACCACAGCCATTGCCCTTTCTATCACTGCAGAAAGAACACTGACCTTATAGTATATTCACAGAAATATTATGAATTTAACCTTTTCTTAAATAATTACAGATCTCTATGGGCCAGACTTAAGAGAAAACGGCAGCTACATAAAGAAACCAAAAATTTTAGAACTACAAATTACCAATATTATACATGTATTTAATCAAATATTAATACACGTAATTAACTCTGTAACAGGACAGTACTGTTAACTGCACTGCTGAGATTCTTTATCATCTGGGCAACAAAAACATTGCTCCAGATGTGCAATTCACAATAGAAGGAGAACTAAAGAACACAGATGAAGCAGATAACATATTCTACAATCGAATCAAGAGCCTGGAAAAAGAGCTTGTGGCAGAAAACATACCAGGTACAAAGAAGGGGTTTGGGCAAGAAGGAAGTTTTCGAGGCAGCATCCTCCATGACCAGAAGCAAACCTGAGCTCAGTTGGTGGTGGTCCACAATCTCTATGGGACTCCCTGCTATGAAAGCCAGAGCTGAGGGGGATCAGGCCATTAGCCCTACTCTGAACACATGCTGACTCACTTTCTCTTATTCATGGTGGTGTGTCTGTCACAACACTAGTAATTTTATTCATAATTTCTGAAATCCACAACCTCTATATGGTTTACATGTAACTACTCTTGAAAACCACCTGCTACTGTCACCTCTTCCTTTACCAGCGTACTGCTCACTGCTTGTGCCTGTCCTTGGCATAGTACATCAGACACCTCTGCTGTAGTACTAGGGTCTGCTCTTACTTTAGAGCAACTCTTGTCTTGAAGACCTTATAGAATGTATGTTAAGAGAAAGAAGTGGGAGGAAAACACAGTGGTGATGCAGCAGCTCTTCCACAATTATAAGGAAGATCTATGACACCCAGTGAGGAACCTAAGTGAGCGACTTTAGCACCAAGCCTTACTGTTAGGTGATAAGGTTCTGTTAATGGCTGCAACTACATGAACTTTGCTTAATGTATGTTATTTTGTTTGCCAGACAACCATGGCAACATATCCCCAGAAATGGAGCCTGTCCGTCTGCTAGCATGGGTTGCCTCTGGCTATGTGATATGGCAGAACTCGACTGAAAACACTAAGTTCCAACTTGCCCAAATTAAACATGTGAAGCAAGTGGTAAGTTATCATCAACGCCCTGCAAGAAAAAATACCATCTAAGAGCTAAGGAGTTGTGACATGTACTGGATTACAGCTGTTAAGTAAGAAACCTCAGGTGTCTCTGAACTTCCTGGTCTGGTTCATTTTTAAGCCAGTGTTTAGGTTTTGTTTGACCTAATCCTTCCTTCTAGCAAATCGTGAGTTCTTCAGTGTTGATTTAGATCACTCCTCTTCATAATTTTGCTTATAGAAGCCATGTTTTCTTAGCAAGAGCAGCATTTTACACTTACTTAGTTAAGAAAATTGACTCTCTACTTTGAGGTCATCGCATTGATTAGAGTTTTATATTACTTTCCTGCTTTTAATCTATAGTGTAAGCCAAACTGACAGTGTTATTGCATCTGCATAAGATGCACTGGAATACTGTCCTTTATATCTTGATCTACACCATGATCTAGCAATCAGTCACAGTAATACTGCTTGATGTCTCTGCAATAGCTGTGTCCAGACAAATAGCAATGGGCTGTACCTCAGATTCAATAAAACAATCTACAGTGCTTCTGTTTGCACTACTGCAGTCTCCATCCATTTGTTTGTTCACCACAAAATGCTAATCAAGAAAGAAAGTATTGATGTAATTCCACTCTCATCATTACCTGGTTTACTTTGTTCTCACCAAACTTACTGATTTTTAAGTATTTTGGGGGGGCAACCTAAAATTAATTTTTAGTCAAGCTCTATGACTTTTATTAGCATGATGAGCATTGATTAAAGTTATGATAAGAAAATTTAATTCAGGAAGATGTGTCACAAGACAAAGGGAACAGCATACTTCAGAGCAAAATATTTTCTGCTTTCACTTATTTCTGAATGGTTACAGGTGAAGGGTTTATCTTGAGCAGATCTGGATCTGCCCTAAGCTAAGCAATAAACATAACTGGCAGATCTCACTGTAGCTGTTCAAATTAAGTAAGTCACTAGCTGCCACTATCAACAGGCCTTGGAAATGTCTTGCCTGGAACAGGCTTAACTGATAAAGCAGTTTGCTTTCAGAAACGCTGTTGTCACAGCAGGCTTGGGGTTTGTTTTTAAATTAATAAAATTTAACAATAGATCCTCCCCGTTCTTCTCTATTTGGAGGACATATACAATAAGTTGAGAATAACTCCTGAAGGGATGGTCAACTTGAAATTCAAGGAAATTTATTATGTAAGCTAGGGTAAAGAAGCAGGGTTTCACATTTAGAAAACCCAGAAGATCAGGAGGCTTCAGAACAGACTTTTAGAGCCCACATGATTTGCCCTTCGGAACAGCCAGTGAATTCCCATGAAATTCTGGCTATGAAAGAAATGCAGAAACTCATTCTGGTAGCACGATTTGTTAAGGTTTTGCTCCCTCTGATGGCTATCTTAAAGCAATTCACAGATGCTGCAGGGCTGTGCATGAACAAGATTAAAAACCCTCTTTAACAAACCAGATGAATTTAAGGATAAGGCAGACATAAGACTATTAAACTAAATCAGCTGCCATTTCTCTTCAGTAATTTTGTTCCTTTTCCCTGAAGAATAGATACATGAAGAGTATGTTCCAAAGGCCAGTGTATGCATTGTCGCTCACACAATTACTGATAACTTGTAAAGCCTCTGGAGTGTGTTCCAAGACTTAACCTATTGACAATTTTATTTAGGATTATTTGGGTTAAATCGACACCTTGTAGGATCAGGTGTTCCCTTCCCAAATGAGTTCCTGAAGTTGAGCTAAATCTAGCTTCCTTAAGGGAGGAATTAGCACAGGTTCTATGTTCAGTCTCTCCAGTGCAGTTCTGGAGTTCACAGAAACAGAAAACAGAATCTTTTTGTTTTGTTATAGTGACTAAGCTCCATTTGCTTTATTTGTTTCATTTGGTTATCATAAAAATTCTTTCATGTATTTCAAAGAGAACTGAGTCACTTTTTTAAGGCGAGGATAAGCCCTGCATTCAGCCCTTTTCATCTTGTCTTTCCAGAAAAGAAGTGATGAGTATCTTGAATTTGACTTCATGATTCTACTTCATGAAATGGTATCCCAGGTAAAGTCTTCATTTCTAAAAAGCTTTTTTTTTTTTTTTTTTTTGGTCAGCAAACAGTAATCCTCAGCTATTTCTGGGCCTTCTTGGGAATGGCAGAAGTTCAATATATTGGTCATTCACAGCCCTCTCCTCCTGGGAAGTACTGTTGCCAAACTGGCCAGAGATAAAGGGAAGCAGCAGCTGCCAGTATCCAGGACTGCTTAGCTGTATTCCAGCTGGAGCTGCACAGCGCTTCTATACTACTTATACAATATATAGATGCATCATCTAACCCAGCAGTTCATGGAAGAAAGCAGCAGAAACTTTGGTTCCCAAAACAGTATTTACATTGTATGCTATTCTCCATCATAATTTTGAGATCTGAGCAAGTGTTTTCATAAGAAAAATACAGAAAATTTGAAAAAGAAGTTCTCAATCGTGCAACCTCCTGTAATAAATCATCCACTGATAATAACTGGAGATTATTATCTCCCACTGACAGCTCTACTGCTTCCTGCCTGACTACATTCTCAGCTGAGGCATCTATAGCGCTTTTAGTTCCTAAATTTTCTATGAAGAAAAATTCCAGAGAAGTAGTAGCTAACTAATTGCAGAACAAAAGCACAGGTTCTTCACTGTGCTCTGTTCAGTGAAGGGCAGGTGTCCCAAAATAGCAATAGCACTAACAGTAAGAGGGGAAATCCAACACAGACATGCTCAAGCTGCAGAACTTGCCAAGATGCAAGAAAAATGTAGTTGCAGCAGCATGGAGCACAACAGTGGCTGAAATAAAACTTGTAGAAGACCTTCAGATATTTGGACAAGTCACAGGACTGTGTGTTACTGTGCTTACCTTGTGCTATTGCTGGTGCTTGATCAACTACTTATAATCAGCCCAGGTAAGGCTGTACTGCAGCAGTCAATTCCTGTTTGGTATCGCTCAAAGAAAATATCGTATCGCTTTCTACAGTGTTATTTTCTACCCACAGGAGATCATTCCCTGGCAAATGACAGTTCTCTGGCACCCACAACATGGTGTTCAAGTGACACGGGAGAGCTGTCAGCCAAAACATGCATCGGAATAATGGACCACCTGATACTGCAATGGAAGAAGCTCAAACGCTACAATAAGCATTTGAAGGGAGGGCAGATAAGTTGATGATGGTGGATACACAACCAAGGTATGAAGGAGTTAAGGACTTTGATTTCTTCCTCAGTTAAACTCTTCCTGTACATTGGCTTTGATCTGATAATCCAAAGGGCAAATTCCCTGCTACATAATCAAAGTCTGCATCAAAATAAATTTTAAAAAGCTGTGTTACCAGAAAGAATACTTACGGCACAGGGGCAGAGATGTTCTCCCTAAAGGCAACTTTTGGCTTTCCCATGGTGCAGGGGCAACCATATTCCCTTTCCATTCGCTGTGGGAGAAGAATGAAATACAGAGTTGTTCAATTGGAACAATTTATTGGAAATCATTTTACTGACAGATCTTTCTGACATGAGAAACTTAATCAGGGTTAACCAGTTTTTTTGGTTTGGGGCTGGACTGATTTCTGGGGTCTTGGTGTTTGGGTTTTTGGGTTTGTTTTTTTTTTTTTTTTTTTTTAACATCACAAATTATTAACTGTCATTTTGCAGTCAACCTTGTTTAGGGCTTTATAGCTTTAGATACAGGAAAAGGGAACAGCATTAGTTATTTTACTCAAATTTAAGTTTCTAAAGACAAAATCCACTTTTTCTTCATTCTGTCAACGTTTCAGATACATCTATTGCGTTAGACTAAAATATAGACATCAACTTGAAAGAAACAAAGAAATCAGTAATTATTCTAACTATTCACTCCTGCCTGCATAATCTCTTATTATGGAATGATATATTTAAAACCACAGAAATAAGAGTATTTCTTTTATAGGAAATAGCCAACAGTAAAATTAATTATAACCAAAGGCTGCTAAAGCAAAGCATAGTGCTTAATACATTTTTTATGGATTTGAACCAAACAGTGAAAATATTCCAGGCATAAGTTTCACTGAAATAATTTACAAAAGCCTTCGAAATAGAACCACTGGAGAGGAAGAATCTTCAAAAGTTGATTAAGAAGTTAAGCTCTTCCCTAAGCAGCTAGCATTGTTCACATTAATTAGTGCTTTCTGCTGGGAAGATCTCAAAATAGCTGTCATACGATAACTTTGATTACACTAAAGCAAATGGAGTTGTACACCTCCAAACATCTTGTAAACTTGATGTGCGCATAAGCACCCAATTACAAAATCGGGAGTAAAGACTGGCATCAATTAGGCCATCTGCAGATAAATTCTGGTCTCAGCCAGAAAGGAAGAAGAATTCTTGGTTGGAAAACGAGCAAAAGTAGAGTCCATAGAATCTGCTTTCCAAATTACCTGAGCATAGATTTCCAAGTGCAGTTCCCCCATTCCAGAAACAATGGTCTCTTTGCTCTCATCATCAAAATGGACTCTGAAAGTGGGATCTTCCCTTGTAAAGCGGCTCAGGCCTTTTGAGAATTTATCAAAGTCATTCTGAAAAGCAATGACACACACACAAAAACATTAACTCAATATCTACAAGTTGCACAACAAAAAGGCCTCAAATTTTTCCTCTTAACTGCTTAGCACTCTGACTCTCAAAAGGTTATTTTCTGAAACACAGCCACACATTTATAACGGTATTTATCCTTCCAGCTACTTCAAGTCCACGTTTATCCAGGTCAAAGACATGCATCTTCCTTATGGCTAAGGGATGCCGTCTAATGCAGTCACATGCTGGATTATCTGAATGATACATTCTTAAGTACTTAAGATAAAACATTTGAAAACACTGCTCATTTTAGTCTGTGGTTCCCAATTTAGCTGCTAACCTGCACCGAATTATAAAAGCAGCAAAGGAAGGTAACTCAGTTAGAAGGTTGATTCATAGGCTTCTCCTACCTTGTTGGAAGGCTTCATGGCTACTGAAATGACAGGATCAGGGATGTGGATTGATTCCTGCAATGGCCATAAAGGAAGAGATCATACAACCAAGTTCCACTACACCTGCTGATTTCTGTAATTTCTCCAGAACATTTTGGCCGCAAGAACCCAGGCTTACAAACAGGGATGACTGTTTTACTTACCTACCTTATATCTAATATCATAGTGTAACAAAATTACATAACTCTGCTGAGGATTACTACAAGGCTATAACATAATGCATACTGTACTGCCAGCCACAGTATTTCCAACACCATTTCTTAGATGTAAGATGATACCTGGATTTCACACTGGTGAGAAGTCTACTTCCTGTGAGATTTTGTAAATATATATAAATAAAAAAAACCCCAACAAACAAACCCCCAAACTGATGTATTTAAATACATATACAAATACATAGCTTAATACTTTTGGGTAACAGCATCCAATTCTAACAGCCCAAGACAGTTTGCTAACACTGAAATAATATTTGATGTCAAGCATAGCAAACAGGTGTGTATCTCTCTTGCCCATACCATACTTCCATATACTCAAGCTCCATGAGGTATAACAAATAATCATAAGAAGTACTTGCGGTTGTATATACGTCAGAAAATATTTAAACTTAACAAATTATTACAAACTTACATGACAAAATCCTGGCAGATTTCAATGCATGAGACATACAGATGAAAAGGTGTACTCACCATGGAAATGTCAGTGCTGGTTTTATCAGTGAATGTATCCCCACTAGCACAATCTATTCCAAACAGCGCACATATGTCTCCTGCATAAACTTCATTTACATCCTTAAGAAAGTAAAGTTTACTATTTAGATAACACTGAAAGACCTTACAACCCACACCTGGATTTAAGAAGATATATAAACACTGTGTTAAAAAGCCTGAAGTTAAGCTACTCTGAAAATTGAAGGTTTGATAAAATGCTCTGTTAAACTTCTCTCTTTATTCAAAGCACAAAAAGGAGACCTCAGCTTGGATGTTACCTTACTCTAGTTTGAGGATATGAAGCAAGCAACATACGATGTTTCATCAGGCAGTCCTGACCCACCTATGGAGTTCAGGAATTTTAAACAGGAAAGACTAGTATGTGCAGCTGTCTGAGAATCAATTTTTAGTTTCAGAATTGTATTCAGTAATCCTGTGGAAGAAAAAACTTTTGTGTGTATTTTGCCAATCCTATTTCACCTCTCCCAGAAATACAGAGTATGAGGATAATACCACAGCTGACTTTCTTTAGCTGTCACCTCAGAGCCATTTGATAATGTTTCTCGGGCAAAGATTCTTCCACTTCAGTGGAAGCAATACACTAGAGATCATTCCAGTTTCTTGCAGAGCTCTATTAAGTGCTAGAGGCAAGTATGAATTAACAACAAAAGCAGAACTCTGACATATCACATCGTTCAGAAATAGCTGAAAGGTTTGGTGAAAGCAGCTCAAAAGGCAATCTGTGTGGATTGTACCTCTCACTCTCACCTCCATGTTGTCTGAATGCATACGGACAAGTCTCTGTACACGCACTCTCTTCCCAGTTCTAGTGTTATATATATAATCGGATTTCTTCAGCATCCCCTGATAAGCTCGAATATAGGTTAACTGCCCAAAACGGCCAGCCTGGAATAAAAATTCATTAGCAGTCAGATATAATCATTCTGGGAGGCAAAACTACTACTATTCAAAGCATCATCTGCACTGACTGACTGGATGTTTCTGTTTTGAATTTACATACTAGACATGTAAATGAAACTTTTTTTGACGTAGTCTCAGCTTTCCCTTAGCTCTGGAATGGAACTTGGCATCTCCTGGCAATTTTCTTTACTTCACCAGCTTAACTACTCCTAGACCTTCCCAGCAGAGGCATATGTTAATTAACAATCTGGCCAGTCCTGTCCATATGAAATCTGAACGGCTACCCTCCACGTAGCAAATAACTTGTTTGATTAAAATTGTGTACTTTTTCCCCTCTGACTCTCTTGCATTCCATTTCTGAAAGTATCTGAAATAAGCCCAAAAAACTTGCAAATTTTCAGGTTTTAACTAAGAAAATCATGATGTATTTGAGGGACATAACCCATTTTAAAATTTCTAAATTGGCAGTGTTTGACACATTAGTGGAATTTATGCTTGAAACCAGTTTTTAAAAAGAAATTACATTTTATTTAAATATAAGCTGATTTTATTTTTTTTAACACAAGTTTTGGTAGTACCATCTTTTTGGACTCATTCTGTTTTCTAGTCAAACCACCAATAATGAATCTGAATACTTTCCTTTCTACTCCAAGGTTAGCACAATGCAGTACAACTTTTGCTCCACAGAGCTCAGATCCTGGTAGCATGGGAAACTTGCAAGAAACTGAGTAAATCAGCTAGGTAATGCTATGGACATCTATTCTCCAGAAACTTTCAGTTTAGCTATACTATATTTACTATATAACTGAGTAAATCATCTAGGTAATGCTATGGACATCCATTCTCCAGAAACTTTCAGTTTAGCTTTACTATATACACAGTGGCCAAGTGAAAAAGCCATCACATGCACAAATAGACATGCTGAAAATACAGTAGTTAGCTGAAAATACATAGTTCTTTAAACTATGGAAAACTCTTCTGAAAGAAGCATTTAGGTAGGGAAGGGATATTTGGGTAAGTGCCATGCTCAATGAATCATCACTTTTTTATGAAGGATGTTTGAAAAGCATAACTGAAGAACCTCTTCACATTCATCTACAGACCTGCTGAAGCTGCACCACATGTCTTTGGAATCTTTCCAGGATGTCCTAGCAAACTGAGCAAGATAAACTAAATGGGTGCTTTCCCCCACAAATGAAAGGCATTTCCCAGACATCAATGACAAGCCACCAGTAGCTTGCTGCAAGTAGAACTTGCATACACCAACTCTTGCAGGAAATGCTTTGCTTCTCTAGTGGGTTTGCTGCATTAGAAAGGCAAACAGTAACAGCTTACCTCCAGTTTAAAAGCAAGGCCTATAAAAGGTCGGGAATCATCTCGTGCAGAGTTCAAGAGGAACTTGGTTTTGTCCTCAGAATCCCTTAAAAACAGGGATGGAGAGGAGTTTACATTATGAAGCAAACATAG